CAGCCTCTCCTGGGCTCTATCCAAACCCTTGTGAAATAGAGCTTTGTGTCCTGGGTCTCCTCTACTCCCGCGTGGCCATTAGCCCACGTGTTGGACAAGTGTGTTTCTCCTGGTGGTGTGGGGGCTGCTCCTTATCCCGTGGGCCGGTCCCCAGCACAGGCTAGGGTTTCAGGAACCTTGTGGGGGCGTGCTCAGTGGATGGCAGTTCTCTGTGACTCCCAAGGCCCAGTTGAGGAATGACCATGCCTCATCGTGCTTCATCTGTGGGGGCTGTCACTTGGGGGGCTCCATACTCAAGGGTCACTTTGGGCAGATGGCAGTCCTCCCTGCTTGGATGGGCAGTGGGGTAGACCCCAGAGAAACCTTACAGGTGGCCTGTTTGAGGAGGGGGGTAGGAAAGAGGGGGTGGGGGCTGTCTTGGGACCTTCTGAGCGGGGAGAACAGAGGGCCCCAGTTGTGGAAGGCTCAGCAGCTAGGGGCCCCGGTGGGGTTCGGGTTGGTGGCCTAGGGCTGGTGGTCTGGCTAAGGCTATGTCTTCGTGGTGATCCGCTCCCTTCCCTGGCCTGGGACTCCCCTCTGGCTCTGCCTCTCCCTAGCCAGCCTCCCCCTTTCCTGGCATCTGCAGATGCTTCAGACGCCAAAGCCAGGGAGCAGAGGAGGGGCGGACCTCTGCCCGCATCGTCCTCGAAGGAGTCCCCTGAGGCCCAGGATCCCAGGTAGCGTGCATCTGGAAGGCAGGTGCACACCCTCCTGCCCCCGGGTGCCCCGTGCTCGGCAGATGAAGGTGCTGGTTTCCCTGTGCCCTGGGTCTGCTGAGGCCATACGAAGGCATCAGCCCTTTCGGTTCCTTGGAAGGGAAGGGACTTTCCCCAGGGAGCCTGGCCTGGTCGGCCTCTTGCTGCACACTTCTCTTCCAAAGCTCCTCTGGAACTTTCTAGCCCCAAGCGTCTGAGAGGTGAGGCTGTGTCCACCTGGCTGCATGGAGCTCCTACGTGTCCTGAACAGGCCTGTGGCGGCAGGGGGGGCGGGGGGGGGGCAGCTGTGCCACCCCTCCGCCCCAGCTGCACATCCACGTCCTGGGTCTGGTTCTCACTGGCCCGCTCTGGCCAATCCCCCTCAGCCTGGTGTCACTTTGCTTCTGGACTCTTTTTCCCTTGGGTTCCCCAGCCTGCAGCATGATGGGAGTTCTGGGGGCACTGAGGTCTCGCTGCTGCCACCCCAGAGAGGGCAGTCATGGAGACTGGAGGTCCTCTGGGGGTGGGCTGTGGCCAATAGGCTGCTTTGCGTTTGACCCCACTGGGCAGAAGGGGCCGGGGGCCAGGAAGGGCTGAGCTCTGGATTTATAGCGTGGTTGCAGGACCGTGGGTTCGTCTGCTCCCCCTGCACGTGTTGTTATTCCTCCAGGAGGCCCCTGCTCCCACTGACTTAACCTGGGGGCCACAGGGTCACAAGATGCAGGGCTGTGAGGAGAGAGGGCTTGGTGGATGCAACCTGGTCGTCAGGGAGCTTGTAGGGAGTGCCCAGCGCCTCGAGCTGGGCACGGCCATCCGTGGTCTCGGGCAGCCACCAACACCATCTGCCTCTCCCTGAAATGGCAGCTGGTCTTGAGCAGCGTGGCCCTGCGTCCGGCCTCCTGGAGGGTGGAGGCCGTTACAGGTGATGCGGCCCCAATCGCGCCCTCGTCGGGAGAGTACACCCCACCCGGTTGGCTTTACCGCCTCTGACCAACTAGGCAGAGGGCATGGGGGCATGGGGGGGGCTGGACTGCAGGCGGGCAGGACCGTGGGCTGCTGTCAAGGTAGAGCGACCAGGATGGGGGGGATTGTGGCCGTATTGCTGGCTTTCCTGGTAGGGACCGGTGTGTCATGGGGGTATACGTGGCCCGAGCGGGCCTGTCTTTCTCCAGCCGCAAGAGGCCAGAACTGCCCAGGATGCCATCGGCCCCGAGGATCACCACGTTTCCCCCGGTGCCGGTCACCTGTGATGCCGTGCGCAACAAGTGCCGTGAGCTGTTGACCGCCGCCCTGCAGACAGACCGTGAGTGCCCTGGCGGGCGCTGCACAGCCTGCCTGGGGGTCCTGACTCCTAATACGCACCCAGACTTCCGGGGTGGCCCGGACTCTGCCTGCCCACAGCGGCCTGAGTTTAGAGGGTCCTGGGGGACAGCCCTCTCCCCTAGCCGTTGAAGCTGACCCCGGGTGGGGGGGGGGCAGGTGGTCTCTGGGGTCACCAGAGCACCCGGATCCTGGGCGTCAGGTGCGGGGCAGGCTGGAGGTGGTGGAGCCAGAGGGGCGGCTAGTCGGGGCTGCTTCTTGCAGATGATCATATGGCCGTCGGTGCAGACTGCGAGGGCCTGTCGGCCCAGATTGAGGAATATATCCTTTGCGCAGGGGTTTGGGATCTGGGGCTTTCTGGTCGAGCTGTGAGGCCAGCCAGGCCCTGCTTCCCCTGGGGGCCACCACCCCAGTGCCCTCACCGGGTGGTTGGTCAGTTGGGTGGGCTCACCCCTCTTGACCAGGAGGGCCCTCCCCAGACCTGCTGAGGGATGGATTCTGCCTGCTGGTGGGGCGGGGGTCACTGGGGCTTTGAACCTGCAGCTGGGCCTTAGCCACGGGGTTGCGGGGGGGGGGGGGGAGTGGGTCTGGTGGCGGCCCCGCCCGGCAGCCCTTCCCCTCACTGCCGGGTGTGGGTGGGTACTGAGTTGCTGGGCTCCCCTTCCCCTCCCAGCCCCTACCTCACTGGCCTCCTTCGGCTGGCCCAAGGGGGTGGGTAGAAGGCAGAAGCACTGGCCTCTGGATAGGTCCTTAAACACCTGCACGTATCTTCCGGGACGTGGGGAACACGGACATGAAGTATAAAAACCGTGTGCGGAGCCGCATCTCCAACCTCAAGGACGCTAAGAACCCCGACCTGCGGCGGAACGTGTTGTGTGGTGCCATAACACCCCAGCAGATCGCTGTGATGACGTCAGAGGTGAGTCCTGCGGGAGGGATGCGGGGGCCACCCCTGTGAGCAGCGGGTAAGTACACGGCTTCTTGCCCAGGAGATGGCCAGCGACGAGCTGAAGGAGATTCGGAAGGCGATGACCAAGGAGGCCATCCGAGAGCACCAGATGGCCCGCACGGGGGGCACGCAGACAGACCTCTTCACCTGTGGGAAGTGCAAGAAGAAGAACTGTACTTACACGCAGGTGAGCTGCCACTAGCCGTCCTCCCGGGGTCCCAGGGACCTGAGGGCAGCAAGAGGGGTGCCCGCACCTGCCCCCAGTTCTGTGGGGCGGGGACTGCACTTGGGTCCGGACACATGCACTGTGAATGTGTACTGACTGGGCCGGGGAGAGGGATAGCCACCTTTGGGACCTCCTCCTTGCCAGCACCCCTGGTCCCCAGTAAGCAGTGTCTCAGGTGGTGGTTTGCTCTGGGCACTAAAGTTGGGGGGGGGGGGGGCTGACCTCATCCGGCACGGAGGGGCCGCGAGGAACGTTGCACTGGCAAGGGAGTGGGTGTGGTAGGCTGCCTGGCGGTGGCCACAGGACTGTGCTCAGGCCCGTGGAGGTGGACACTGATGTGGACCTTGGGACATGTCAGGGGTCCCTGGTAATGGGAGAAGGGTTGGGGTGGCTGGAGGGTTGGAGTTACTGGCGCAGCCTCAGCACAGGTCACCCACAGGGGCCTGGGGGCTGCGATACCGCCCCTACCCGAGGGCATGGGTAGCCTCCCCAAGTTGTCACTTGATGGAAGACTTGCTTCTTGGGGCCTCTTGCTATGAGTGACTGATCCCTGGGCCTGGGGTGGGGGGGCTCTCACAGGTGCAGACCCGCAGCTCTGATGAGCCCATGACCACCTTTGTCGTCTGTAATGAGTGTGGAAACCGCTGGAAGGTAGGTGGGTGAGCCTTCTCTGGACGCGGGTGTCTCCAGCCTGTGTGGGGTCTGTGTGATGTGAAATGGGGGACAGCTACGCCCAGCCAGCCTCCCGGGACTTGAGAGAAGGTGGGTGGAGACCCCAGCCCTGACTCTCGCCCTGCGGGGGTCACGGGGGGCTGCGTGGCTGATGCCTCTCCCGTCTGCTGCAGTTCTGCTGAGCCCTCGTTGGCATGTCTGAAGCCTTGGGCCGTGCCCAGTGTTGGCCACGGCCTTCCCTGCGTCCTCTGTCGACAGACATAGCTTCTGGAGACCTGCCCTGTGCCTACCTGAACTTCCTCAGAGGGCTGTGCACCCTGCCCCCCACCCTGCCTGCAGTGCACCTTTCTTCCCCTTTCCCCCAAATTATTAAATGTTTCTTTTTGCCATGGTGTTGTTCCTGGCCCTTGGTTCTGGTGGGCCACGCACGGTCTTGGGCTGTGACCTGGGCCGCCCTTGCCCCCCCACCACTGGGGACAGCCCTCCTCCCTGGGATCAGGTGACACTTAGGTTTGGCCCTAGTGGAACAGAGGTGGAGGGAAGAGCCCGCTGGCCTTCGGAGGGGCCTGGTGATCCCAGGAGGGACCCAGATTCCTGCCTGTGTGTGCCCATGGAGGAGGGACAGGTGCAGGGGCGCACAGCATAAGCATGTGCAGGTGGGAGGGGGCCTTAGGACACAGAGGATCCAGGGTCTCATGAGCCTCCCCAGCCACTGTAGCTCAGGGCCCAGGGCTCGTGGGCAGGAGGCTACGTCTGGGTCTCCAAGCCATCCATGATCGTCTGCTCCAATCCGATGGAGCGGATTGGGTGGACTCTGGGCCAGAGTCTCAGTTTCCTGGATCTGCTGCAGGTTTGAAATGTTCTGCCTCCCAGAAATGTAGGGAACAGGTTGGCAAGCACATGCCTTGCCCAACCCTAGCTTTGGTGAGACACTGCGGGGGTCGCCCTTGCCAGGGGGCATGGCACCCTCCCAAGGGCAAGGCTGAGCACAGCTGCCCACCGGGGCCAGGTGTCCTTGGAGCCCGCTGCTCCCTGCTCTAGGTTTGGGACAATTCATTCTCTAATCTCCCACCCCCAAATGTGGACAGAAAGGAGAGACTTTTGCTTTAAAAATATCTTCAATAAAAGATCCTATTTTGGATGGAGAAGGAATGGAGATAAATATGAAAACATCTTTTTCATTTTTTTGATAAAATACAGTAAGGACATGTTTCCAGGTTTAAAATTAATGAAAATATAAAAAAGAAACTGGCTCCTGTTGCCTTGAGCCTAGTTCTGAGGTTCTGGGTCTGATCCGGGCGCAGACAGCTTGCATTAGAGGGTCTGTCTCCTCCTGTCACAACTAGACACACAGAGGCTCTACTGCCCACCAAAGGCATTTCTCAAGGTCCCTGGCTGCTTGGGGAGGAGGCCTAAGTGAGGCCGGTGGGTCCACCAGACCCCGTGGGAGGTCTCCCTCTCCCCACGCAGGAGCCCAGTGGGGAGCTTTTTGGGGAGAGACTGCCTGGTGTCAAGAGGCCCTCACGCCGCCCCTCAGCAGGACCTCCGGGTCCCAGGTCCCCGGGGTAGAGAGGGGCTCCTGTCTGGGACTGCCCTCAGGGGTGCTGGGCCCCGCTGGTGTGCGGGACATCCGCGGACACACACTGGTGCCGGTAACCGAGTCTGTGCCCGCCAGAGGGGTCCCACGTCTGTGCCGCTGTGGTGGGCAGCCTAGGCCTCGTTGGAGGACTGGGAGCTTCCCTGGAACAGCAGGGCACGGTAGGTGGGGGAGCTGAGGAAGCGCGGGTAGGAGTCCCGGTGCATGAGGGTGTAGATCTGCAGCTGCGCATCGTCGAATGTGTGCGCCGAAGGCTCCTGCATCTTCTTGTTAATGCCTTCCCGCACTCGGGAGTCCAGGCTCACCTGTGGGACAGGATGCCACCGTCAGGGGGCTCAGGAGGCGCCCCCCCACCCCCACCCCCGCCCCCAGCCCTGGTCCACAAGGCGGTGCACCTCCTTGGGGGACAGGATGGACACGTAGTCCTCATAGATGAGCCTGGCTTTCTCATCCACCACGTGCTGGTTGGCCTCGGCCTTGAGCTCCTCGCAGGCCAGCCAGAAGAGCATGTTCTCCTCGCTGTACTCGGTGCGCAGGAACTCCCGGAACACGCTTCGGCCCGCCGGGCTGTGCATCAGCTTGTCGAACGACTGCGCCCAGCTCCGCACCTCCTCCGGGCTTGGCGTGGCGCTGTGGGCATTCCCCGCCAGGCCAGGTCAGGCGCGCGCCCCCGCCCCCCGGACACGCGCGCGCGCACGGCTGGCCACACCTACCACGCCTCGCAGCTGGGGAGGGGCTGCAGCTTGTTCTCCCGGGAGGCCCGCCACGCTCGCCGCCGCTCTTCGTTCCTAACCGCAGAGGGAAAGGTGGCGCTGGCCTCCTTGGCACACGTGGTCTTGGCGCGCGCGCGCGCGCGCGCACACACACACACACACAGATGGGTTCCACCTGAACGTGTGGCCTGGGGGCTCTCGGCCCGGGTGTAAACCCCCTGCAGGTAGGCAGCCCTGGAGTCTGCTCCCTTCACACCCTCCAGGGAAGGAGTGTCTGCACGGGCTGCCCTTCGCCCCTCCCTCCGGTCTCTCCCCTGGGGCCAAGGGAGACCTTTACCGTCTGGTAGCCTTTGGGACTTCACCGATTCCTGGTGTGCCCCTCCCTTCCTGGCCCGACCTCAGCCCCGACTCCTTTCTCCCAGAGGCCCCGGCTGATGCAGTAGGAAAGCCCCAGCCTGCGAGTGTGACTGCAGATTCTCCCCAGGGAGCCTTCTTCCCTCCCTTGGCTCCTCACTGCGTCAGTGCTGGCTCCCCTATCCATGCCTCCAGCCAGATCTCTGTAGGGCCAGTGAAATGTCTAACGGACATCTCAAACCCAAACATCCAGACAGACCTGCCCTCTTCCCTTCGCCTGCCTGCTAGACCCCAAACTCTCCCTTGACCCCCGCAGCCCAATTCTCAGTGCGTCCTAATTCTTCATGGCCTCCCACCTCTGCCCTCAGGCTGCCCTTCTCCCGCCTCGGGCTGGAATTGCTCACTGGTCAGCAGATCCCCCTTTGGGTCCACGGCGCTGGCCACTCAACATCCACGAGCTGGAAGCCTGAATAGGACCAGGCCTCTGCAAGGTGTGAAAACTCCCAAGAGCTTCTCCACACTAGAGAAGCCCGTTAGCACGGGGAGGCCCCACAGCTGCCCTCTGGCATGGCCGCTCTGGAAGCCTGTCCCTGTCATCCCTGGGCCGGGTCTCTGCCCAGTGTCCCCCCGCCTAACAGTCTGTAGGACCTGCTTCTGTCTTGTCCTTCTGTAAGTGCCCAGGGCCAGCTTAGGCTGGATCACAGCGGCCTCAATAAGCATGCGATGAGTAAGCGGACAAATGAGCGCACACACATGTGGGTCGGCCAGGTGCTTGCACATGGACACACCCTCAGGCACACACCAGGCACGAAAGTCACACGTACAGAGGGGTCGGGGCATCGGCGACGGGTCACCAGGGCCCAACAACCCCTGTAGAGAGCTGTGGGCAGCAGAGGCATCCTGCCTTCAGGTGACCCCTCAGAACCCATCCGAGGGTCCAGCGGCAGGACCCCGGGCCTTATGTCTGCTCAGCCCACCTTCCTTGCTCAGTCCCCTCCTGTATTACCCCCCCCCCCGCCCCCCCGCCCCCATCCCCACGTACCAGGAACAGCCGCAACAGCAACACCAGCACAAGCAGCAGGGGTTGCGGCTGGGGGCAGCCGGGGGGGGCCGTGTCATGACTGGACATCGAGGGGGGCTGGTCTGCCTCCTCTGGCCCTATGTGCTGGTGAGATGGGGGCTTCCTCAGCTCCAGGCCAGAACCCAGGGCCCCGCACACACCTCTTCCCTGACTCCCCTCGGTGGTTGCCCTCCCGGCCTCCCAGGTGTTCAAGGGTCTCCCCCGCCCCCGATCCCACAAAGGGGGGCAGAGACAGGGGTGTAGGTGGTGCACCTGCTTCTCAGTCTCATGCGGGGTGGGCATGGGTGGGTGGTGGAGGCCGCCCCGGCTCCGTGGTGCTGGCTCCGGGACCCTCTCACCACAGCCTGAGAGTCTGAGAAGAGAGGTGGAGGTTCTCCCTGAGAACCTGAGACCACAGTCTCCACTGTCCCCTAGAAGGGGTCCTGAGAGTCTCTCCCTCCTTCCAGGAGCCCTGGGGGGAGCAGCCGCCCGCTTTAGACCACTCTGTTCAGGCTCCTACCTCTGCCCCCAGCCTACACCAGGGCTGTGAGCAGGGGCAGGGGCAGTGAGGGGGGGCCCCAGACGAGATCTCCACAGAAGGTTCCGGGACACCCCCATTTGCTCTGTCCCTGGGAAGCCGGAAGTCTGGGTTCCTCTTTCTTGGTTTCCGGCTCCTGGCCCCTCCCAAGGGGCTGGGGGCCCCCAGGAGTCTGGGGCTGTCAGGTTAACGCATAAGGGTAGCGCTCAGACATTCAGACCCCCTTCCTCAGCTCCCTCTGTTCTGGGTTTTCTGCAGGAGGATTGCTCCCCACTAGGAGTCCAGATTTGCCAGGTGGCCCTGGTGGTGGGGGGGGGGGGGGTTCCAACATGTCTGCAGCTGACTAGGCCTCCAGCGTGAAGGATCTGACTGGGGCAGGATTTTCTGAGGGTGTGGGAAATGCAGCGGGGCATGGGTGAGGAGGGCCTGGGGGCCTGTGGCTCCTTGGTCCTGGGCGCTGCCCCTGGCACCCCAACCCTAGCTGGCACCTTACCACACCCAGGGTCTCCCGGCTTCCCTTCCCCCTCCCCTGCCAGGCTGCCGAGGCCAACCAGGCCTGGTGTGCCGGTGGGGAAGGGGAGCGGGGGGAGGGGGGGGGACAGCAATGGGCTGGGCTGTCAGAGATGCGGGGTCCCTGGAGGGGGTGAGGGCCAGCCTCCATCTCAGCGTCCACACCCGTGTTTCATGGGGGAGGTGCGCAGGGGGCACTGGGCACCAAAGCCTCAAGTCAGGGTTGGGAGTCTGATCCCCCCACCCCCACCCCAGGGGAGGCCAACCATAGATCCCAGCATCCATGCCAGGGTGGCCCATCAGTGCCCTCGGGGAGCAGTCTTAAATGCCTTTCCACCACCGCATTTGCCTGTGTCCTTCTTGGCCTAGGTGAGGACCCCCGGGGCCTGGGGTGCTCCCCTGCACAGCTGAGAAGGGCCCTCCTGAGCCGTCCAGTCCCACCCCCACACCCCCATCTTGGTGGCCAGGAGCCTCGTGACTTGCTTTCACTTTATTTTCTCATTTAACTACCATCCTCCCTGCTGCCCCCCTCCCTCAGCTTGTGGTCTTTTTATCCTTGTTTGGCCCATCTCGGGGTCTCCCAGGGTAGGGGGAGGCGGACGCTCTAGGGTCGGCATCACAGCAGAATCAGGTCAGGCAGCTCTGGGAGCAGAGATGCTAGGACTGCATGTGAGCGGCGATCTGAGGCGGCAGTGCCCGAGGTAGGCACTGCTTAGGGCCCCCTTTCCTCTCCGGTGCGGGGATGCCGAGGCCCCGCCCTGACCCAGAACTAGGGTAAAGTCTAGGGTCCCACAGACTCCCAGCGAGCAGATGGGGAAGCAGCAGCCCCACAGCGTGCCTTTCCCTCAGGGGTCAAGCTTCTAGGGAAGGGAAGGGAAGGGAAGGGGTGTGGCAACTTCTGAGGTCTGGTAGCCAGGCAGAAAACTGCTCTTCCTCCTCTGCGCCCCCACCCACCGTGAGTGGGGGCAGGGCTCTGTCCCCACTCCACTCCCTGGCACCCGAAGGCTTGGCTCTGAATTGGAGGAGGGGCCCTGTCCGAGGCTGCAGGCCCACGTGCTAGGGGCTCTGAGGCTGGAGGCTGACTTGACTTTGGGGTCAATGTCTTCTCTTCTGGCTGCAGGCCTGGGCCCGGGGCTCCCTGCACCTTCCTGAGGCTGACTGGGGCCACCTGGTTCCGTCCCCCCCCCCCCACTCCGCTCCCCCCGAGGTCACATAAGGCCTGAACTAGGGTCCCTGCCCCTCCCTCATCCTGGCATTTTGCTGGCATTTCCCAGCCCCTTAGGCTCTGGCCCCCAAGTCTGGGATGGGAGGGGCTGGACAGGCTGCAAGCCCGGCCTCTGGGGACAGAGAGGCTCCCTTGGGAGCGGCTGCTACTCTGCTCCACAGAAGGAAAAAGAACGTCCCTGAACCCGCCCAGTCCAAAAAAAGAATAAGAGAATGTGACAATCCCAGAAAAAAAATGCCATAACCTTTGGGAGGAGGGTGGACAAAGGGGCTCCATTCCCTGCTTCTGATGGTACTCAGTACCTTTCCTAGGCTACCCACGTTCAGCTGGTGGGGGAGCCCCTGCCTGGCTCCTCCAAGGCTGGCCAGGTCTTCCTAAGCCTGATGACCCTTGCCCCCACTGCAGAGGTGGGGGCGACCCATTTCTCTCTCTCTTCCTCTCTCTGCTGGCAAGGTCTGGCCTGCTAGAGCTTGTCTCCTTCAGGGGCCCCTTCCTCCAGCCTCTGACGCCCCCACCCCTACCTCAAGGAACTCGCCATGGCGCCCCACTCACCATCGACCCAAAGGCGAGGTGGGGGGCGGGAGAGGCCAGGTTCCCTCTGGGCCCCACCCTGGCTGCCGAAGGGGCGTGCACTGCAGCAGCCGGGACTCAAGTCAGACGGCAGGAGGTACTCCTGCGGCGTTCTGGAGGGAGGCCGGCGCCGGGAGCCCCAGATCAGCTGGGGCCGGGGGCGCAGTGCCTCCCCTGCGCCTCGCAGGGTGAGTGGCTGCCAGATCCAAGGGGGCAGGGGTGGGGACGGACAGGGTGTCCCGCCTCGGCCCCTCCCCAACAGGCTGGGCGGGGGGCGGGAGACGCGGAAACCTGGGTTCTTCCGGCCCCCCCCCCCCTTTGAGCAATCACTTCCCCAGGCTTTGAGCTGCAGAAAAAGGGGAACCGGTTTGCAGCGCCCCCTCCCCCACGCGCGGGGAACTGGCTCCCGTCCCGCCGCGGCCCAGGGTCCACGTGGACCCCGCGGCTGGAGTCCGTGGGGGTGCGGATCGGGGTGCCGGGTCCTGAGGCTCCCGCCCGGGACGGCCCCCGGGCCCCAGGTCGGGAGGGGCAGGGCCGCCGTCCTCGGCGCCGCGCGCGCGCACTCACCGGCCGCGCTCCCGAGCCGCTCGCGCCGCC